TTTAAACAACCATTTTGTAAAGTACATTTAAAATGTTACCATGCAAACAGTAAACCAATTGTGATCTTTGTACTCTCTCTTGTCCGGAATAAATCCAGAAAGGAGTAATGTTTTCTTGTATCGTCTTTATCGGTATTAATTTTCGCCTCAGCAAATATTTTATCAAGTGATGGCTGATCTGCCTTGTTGACTTTCGCAATAAAATTGACAACAGTCTGTGCTTTTTTGAACCGTTGTTTTGTCACCAACCAGCGGAAGCTTTCTGGCATTATCCTGATTAAATATAATGATCAGCATCACATTTTATGCATTTTTTAATTTTTTTTTTAATTATTTTTTACATTTCTCCACTTTGAAATGTATAAGAAAATATCACAGATAATTCAGTTATGTGTCACGATATAATATTACTTATCAAAAATTAAGTGTGTCAGTGGACAGGTAACTCAGCCGGTAGAGCTGCTGAAGGGTATTCCGAGGGTTTCGGGTCGAATCCTGGCCAGAGGTCTCATTTACCTTATTATAAGTCGCATTTTTTGCAATAAAGAACTATATAGATTAAGGAACCATAACTTTTATTTGTTTCAAACTATGTGGTTTTCTTCAGTATTCACGGACACTTCTATTTTCTTATTTTCTTGTTAAGTATTTGACCTACGTTTTGACTTAAATTTGATATTTTCTTACTGTCTTTTCCCCCTGAACTGTTAAAAACAGCGTATTTATGTATCAATATATTCATTTAAATATCGCTTCTACTTGGAGTGTCGCTACTTTTTTCATAAACCAATCAAAAAAGAAGGATAACGACTTTGTCAATGAGACGGTAATAAGAAAACAAAAATAACAACGAAAATAAAACGTTTTAACTGCAACAGGAACAGTTGGTAGATCTGCTCTTCCCGTTTAGCTGCAGAAATCGTATAATGTTTTTTCTTCTTCTTTTTTAGCGTCTATCTATTGCTTTATGCCACATATACATTGTTTAAGAACAAATTTCAAATTATTTAAGTTGGTTGAGGAATATCCTTGTGCGAAAAGTGTTGCTTTCTCGACTGCATGAACGACGATCGATTCATCGTGAGCTGCCTGCATCGGTTTTACATATTCACATTGTCTAGTTATTAAATTCTATCATTTTTTTACTATTTATATTGATAAAAGATGCAATTTTAGACGATTATTAATTAAGTTAGTAATTTACCATGTTCATAGAAAATATTTCGTCTTTATGAATTAGCCAAGTTGTAAAACGTAAACAGTAAAATTTGTTTCATTTTGTATATTCGTTAAAAGATGGGAAATGAAAGAAAAAAAATTCCGAGACTTACCACCATGTAAATAAGAAGGGAGTGCCAACACAAGCAATAGCCAGATGAATCTTTTTCCAATCATGTAATCCCCACGCTACCAAGGCAAAAAGACTGGCTTCAGTGGCCCAGGATGGTGTAGTCACTATTGGTGGCCGCCATTTGGCAGAAGCAAACTCATTAGTAAAACTGTATTGTACAGTAAGGTAGAAACCAATGCCTATACCAATGAGAAATCTCAAGGCAGAGTAAACTTGCCACGAAGGTGAGAAATAACCAGCTATATTGAACAGAACAGTAACCAAAATAGCAATGAAATATGTCGGTTTCCTGCCAATCATATCAGCCAGATGTCCTGAAACTAAGCACCCAAGAAGTACTCCAGCCATCTGTATAGTTGTGATTGTTGCTGGGATCCATTTCTTGTCACAGACGAGATCAAACTAAGTATATCAAATATACATGTACAGAACTTCATAATAAGCCAAATAAATTTATCGAATTTTATTGTCTTGTTATATTATTTTTCTTTTCACATTCTAGAATATAAATGGTAGGACACTACGTCGAGCACCTGCAAAAAATGCTCCCAATAGGACTGGTTTTTTTTGTTGACTCGAAGATAAAATATTTTTTTATTCTAATAAATCGTTAGAATATCAAAAATTAATGTAGCGCACCAAAATTGGCATTACCGTCTAGTTTAAGCCTGAAAATGGGATACATTTTGTTTGAGGGTCCGAGTGTGAGCATTTTGGAAAAAAAAAACTTTATTCCGTTTTCAGGACTAAATTAGTCTGTAAAACTTTAAACGTCTTTTAAAAGTATATCAAGTACTAAAGACAATCAAGGTGCGCTACATTATGTTTCGATATTCTAACGATTTCTTTAGGATAAAAACATATTTTACCTTCGAGTCGGGGGGATGTGTGCAAAAAAGTTCGATTGGGATCATTTTGCAGGTGCACGATAATGTAGTAAAGTGATAAATTGCATACATGTAGGCACAAACAGGTGGACATAGGTAATTTTTAATTTTTTACGTTTATTTTTCGTATTGATGTAAACCCATTACATGGAGAATTATACAGTTTGTCTAGCTTTCATTGTTGTAACTGTATATCAACGTTGGTCACTGCAGTGGTCAGACTGCACTGGCCCTATACTGGTGACAGAGGCTAATCATCTTGGGGTCAAACAGGATAAGCATTAAATAAAAAACGAAAGACATACCTCTGTAACAATCGTCGTCATATCATCTTCGAACACATAGTTCTTACAGCTGGTTCCATTACTGCTACATACGTCAACTATACTATCATTATATATGTTAGCCAGTGACTCATTGGTTCCATATTGACCACTACCACACAAGAAACCCGGACTCTGACCTGCAAACGTCATAGTTATCATGCTCCACGTCGCCATAGTCTTGCCAACGTGCACAATACTTGCCAATATCCACTGATACAGTCCGCATCCTCCTAGGTCGTTAATCAGATCTTCCAATAAGACGTTATATGTCATACCTTATACTACTCACGCTGTTCTATCTAAAAGACAATCGCAGTAGGTTTGCTTATCGTTATAAAGTATTTCAGTCCTGGCACTCTATCTATACTATCCTTAATATAGTTATGCAAACAGGTTTACTTGGTGCCTTGAAATATTAATGTATTTTTCAAAATAAAAAATACATGTGCGATCTGAAACACTGAAACAGTTGATAAATTTAAATATTATTATTATTAATCGCGATTGAATAATAACTTTAAATGTATTCTGTTAAGACAATTATGACAATTGTGACAATTTGTGATTTTACGCTTACCCACGTTGCACTAAATGCAATGGTCCGATGGAAATCACGCAATGGCACAATTGTAAACTATGATAACGAAATCGCGATAGCACGGCTGAAAATGCGACGGTCCGATTATGAATTCGCGAAAGAACGATGAACGATGGTAAAAAAGCGAAGGTTGCAATTATACGATAGTGAAACCGCAAAAGTACGGCATAAAATCTGGATGGTTCGATGATGCATCACGTTTCGCCCTCGTACTATCGCAAATTCACAATCGTGCCAATATGTTTTCATCATCGTGTTGTACGATACAAAAACCGTGGGTCACGGATTAGAGTAAAACACAGAGTCAAAATCGTCTAATGGAACACCGTAATTTTTTTGTGCGTACACTCTATTGTGATATAGATTCTTTAATTTATCACCATAAAAGCAGTAAGTTTATTTCTATCGTAATAATATTTCCGTTGTCTTTATCTTACATGTTATCTTCACATACAGGAAACCTAAAAGCAGATTCACCTACAGATGTAACAGCGTTATCCGACAATTTGTTTTTTGCTGTTAGCAACAACTTGTTCATTTAAGGAAATCTTAATTGCAAATACTTTTTTAAAGAGGTCCCACGGTAAATCCGGACGCTTTTTGACAAGTTGACTTTGACAAAAATATTGCACATTAAAGGAAATTGATTGAGAAGTTAGGGAACCAAAATAATCAGGTGAATAGAAATAAGCATATCAGTAATCCGGCCAATTTATTAGTAAAAATCTTAACGTTTCGTTAGAAAAGCCTAAAATAATAATTGAAACAAAGAAGTTTATATATCATCCAGTTTATGCAGTCTTATAAATTTTTTATAAACAGTGAGTCCGAATTACTCCTTTCTCGTCTATTTATGTCGTCTAAAACTTGTTCATGAAACATTATGAAATTTCTAGTCGTCTTATTTCTAAAAGATTAAAAGTACATGTAGATTCAAATGGAATTTTGCTTTTTTGTTTTTTTCTTCAATCACAAAATGATGGTATAATTCGGACCTTTTTTATTTTTGTCCTGATTTTTTCCGTAAAATTATCAGTGCTTTTGAAAATGTTTTGGTATAATTCTTAAACATTTTAAATAAGTTAACAATATGGTACTTGTTACAGCCATGAAAAAATCACTATCTAACATTTGTTGTTACGTCATATCCGGTATGTTACAATACACGATCTGTTTGTATTTGATCGGAGACAAAATAAGTCAATAAATAAGACAACAAACCAACTTTATAAAAAGAAAAATCATTTAGTTAGTTTAATAGTTTATTGTCTCATTCCAAGCGTGTCATATATACAATACATCACATTATTCAATCATATTAAAATACATCTTGGACCAATCTCAATAGATTTATAGGAGACATTTAAAAAACATGATGATACTTGTAAGATATTTTCTATAACTAAAAACCAATTAACTTATTACCAAGTTACATGTATATATAACAGACATTTTTGCTTATTCCTCATGAAAAAACAATATACTTCAAATATAATGTCCAGAATATTTGTGACAATACTACTGCAATTAACTTGTTATGTGAGTGAGGCCAAAAAGTCACCATGTTCATACAAAAGCGTAAGTTTAGTGCAGCATACATGTACCCAGTATTGCTGTATAATTATAATTATGCAGTAAAAGAGTAATGATGTTCCAAAATGAATGAGTATATCATGGAGTATAAGGTTGTAACCCAATAAGCACCTGACTGTGAAAGATGTGTGACCTAATATATTCGAATAAGTACATGATTATGCTAAATGTGTGATTCAATAAGTACATGATTGAACATGGTGTGTGACCCAAGGTACAAAATTGTGCATGATGTGTGATCCAAAAGTATATGATTGAACATGGTATGTGTCCCACTAAGTACAAGATTGTACATGATGCATAGCCAATTAAGTACATGGAATACATGGAAGAACATGGTGCGTGAAAGGTCATAATTCTGCACTACCTTAGATGACAGTATAATGAATAATATTAACAATAATTGGTTGGTTGGATATATTTGACTGTCTAGGGTGATCGCCTTACAGCATGATACATTTGTGTGCCAGTGTAGATAAAATTTGTACAAACAAACTGCACTAAACTCAGCCTTAAAATCAACCGTTTAGATCAACCCTATACACAATATGTCTTAATATTCAATGTCGATACACTGTGGCAATGTACTGCTATATCATTGCCACAGTTAAATCTTCCATCACAACCAAAATAAAACAAAAATATCTGTTTTACATCTTCAATTATAAAATATAAAACTAATTGCTGTTAAAAATAATGAACTATGTACACTATACTATCGTTACATTTCTACTACTTTAATAACAGGATTAAAACATCCTATATATTTACACATAAACAAATTCCTTCTTTGTAGTATCTGAAAGCAGGTTTTGGCACTAACTCTTATTACATTAGTATTACTAAATATAACTTTTAATTTCTCATCACTATTCAGGTCGATAAAATTGTTAACAGCAACTGCAGCTTGTTCAAAAATTACATTTCTTAAATCATTGTATAACTGACATTCTAGTATCACATGAGATTCATCCTCTACCACATGACAAAATGGACATAGACGTCTATTTACCTGGAGATTTTCAAATCTTCCGGTTTCTATACGAATTGGTGCCACACCACATCTAAATTTGCTAAAAGCTGATCTGTGGCTAACAAGCAAAATCATTGTACAAAAAGGTTGAACACAATATTTTTTTTAAATATACAATATGTCCGTAATTTATTCCGGCCTCTACCTGATGAGCCCGTGGGTGCATTAATTTTATCAAACCACTCTGTTTTAAACTTAGCAAACATACGTTCTTCTACAGCTTTAACAATATCGTTCTTGGATATAGGCATGGATATATCATTATATATTGACAGGTCTAACTCATTCAACTGTTTACGAACCAAAAAATACCAGTTTTTACATTTGATTGACTTACAGGAGGCTCAGAGCGCAATTCGCTTATTTATTCTTGTAGTATTGGTACATGAGAGACGGGCCCAAAAATTGACTAATGACTAGTTATGTAGGATTAGCTATTCCCTGTCCGGGTTTACCCAATGTCCGGATTGACTCGCACTTGCTCTATAGGTTACTAGATATTAACCTGGTGGTAGGTAGGTCAATGTAGCACATTGTACTGTACCTAAGATAGAGAAGTATTTGGAATATAAATTTAAGCTGTGGCTAATGATACTTCAATGACATAATTTGATAAAGTTCAAACTGGAAAAAGGACATATTCCATAAAGTTACATAACATTTTATTTATCTCACGTACACATGTTTTAGATTGTGATGTTTTATCGTCATCGCCACAATAAAACTTAAAGGTAAAATATGCCTCAGAAACGAATAAATCTTAACTTCTTTGGGAAAACATACATGCATTTTTATACGATTGAATAATCGTTTAGAGCATATTAGATGTTTGTTATCTGAAGAAAGTGGCGCTAAATGGAAAATAATTGTTATAAAAGTAGCTACGAAAGCCTAATAGTGTCAAATGAAATAAAAAATAAAAATGCAAAGGCGTTATAACGCGAATAAAGGCATTATTACGCGAATCAAAAGGCGTAAGAACGCGAATAAAGGCGTAGCAACGCGAATCAAAAGGCGTAAGAACGCGAATAAAGGCGTAGCAACGCGAATCAAAAGGCGTAATAACGCGAATAAAGGCGTAGCAACGCGAATAAAGGCGTTATAACGCGAATCAAAAGGCGTAATAACGCGAATAAAGGCGTTATAACGCGAATCAAAAGGCGTAGTAACGCCTTTATTCGCGTTATAACGCGAATCAAAAGGCGTAGTTACGGGAATAAAGGCGTTATTACGCGAATAAAAAGGCGTAATAACGCGAATAAAGGCGTAATAACGCAAATCAAAAGGCGTAATAACGCGAATAAAGGCGTAATAACGCAAATCAAAAGGCGTAGTAACGCGAATAAAGGGGTAGTAACGCGAACCAAAAGGCGTAATAACGCAAATTAAAACACATTATAATGCCAATTTAATACCATATTTATACTAATCAAATTCGCGAGAAAGGAAGACCAATATTGATCTGAATTTATTGCTCAAGATATAAACTCGTATACAATAATACAATATACATTTACAATAACTTTCATTCCATTTGCACAGTAATTATGCAAACTATTTGTCATAAACTAATAAAGACTCTTTAATATTTGCCAATATAAGATGACTTGGTGACTTATAGGTTATAAAGTATTACCTCCTTCAAATAACAATCCTCCTACGAAGTTTGAATATTGTGGGCCAAATGGAACTTAAGTTATGCTCCCGAAACCAAATTGCTTACGGACGGACGGACAGACAGACGGACGGACGCACGTTCCAACATTTTGGGTTTAGGGGCTATTTTCTTTGTTATTTTCTTTGTTCTCTTAAGGGCTACTAGCCCATAAACCCTTTGATCACGGATTGAACCTATTGTTCTCTTTTGTTCTCTTTACTGTTATATAGCCCCTAAACCCAAAATGTTTGCTCGGACGTACGGACGCCAGGGGGTATAACGTAATATGCCCGAAATTCTTTCGGGCATATAATAAAACGTACATCTAGATCAATTCATTTAAATCAACATTGTTCTTCCTTCCATACATTAATAGGCCACTGTTTGGAATTTATATGGTATTAAATTAGCGTTATAACGCCTTTTGTTTTGCGTTATTACGCCTTTTGGTTCGCGTTATTACGCCTTTTGATTCGCGTTATAACGCCTTTATTCGCGTTGCTACGCCTTTTTTCGCGTAATTACGCCTTTTGATTCGCGTTATTACGCCTTTTGATTCGCGTTATTACGCCTTTTGATTCGCGTTATAACGCCTTTATTTGCGTTATAACGCCTTTATTCGCGTTGCTACGCCTTTTTTCGCGTAATTACGCCTTTTGATTCGCGTTATTACGCCTTTTGATTCGCGTTATTACGCCTTTTGATTCGCGTTATAACGCCTTTATTCGCGTTGCTACGCCTTTTTTCGCGTAATTACGCCTTTTGATTCGCGTTATTACGCCTTTTGATTCGCGTTATTACGCCTTTTGATTCGCGTTATAACGCCTTTATTCGCGTTGCTACGCCTTTTTTCGCGTAATTACGCCTTTTGATTTGCGTAATAACGCCTTTATTCGCGTTGTTACGCCTTTTTTCGCGTTGCTACGCCTTTCGATTCGCGTTGCTACGCCTTTTGGTTCGCGTTACTACGCCTTTATTCGCGTTATAACGCCTTTATTCGCGTTGCTACGCCTTTTTTCGCGTAATTACGCCTTTTGATTCGCGTAATTACGCCTTTTGATTCGCGTTATTACGCCTTTTGATTCGCGTTATTACGCCTTTTGATTCGCGTTGCTACGCCTTTTGATTCGCGTTATAACGCCTTTATTCGCGTTGCTACGCCTTTTTCGCGTAATTACGCCTTTAGATTTGCGTAATAACGCCTTTATTCGCGTTGTTACGCCTTTTTTCGCGTTGCTACGCCTTTCGATTCGCGTTGCTACGCCTTTTGGTTCGCGTTACTACGCCTTTATTCGCGTAATAACGCCTTTCTTTCGCGTTATAACGCCTGTATTCGCGTTGCTACGCCTTTTTTCGCGTAATTACGCCTTTTGATTCGCGTAATTACGCCTTTTGATTCGCGTTATTACGCCTTTTGATTCTCGTTACTACGCCTTTATTCGCGTTATAACGCCTTTGTTTCGCGTTATAACGCCTTTATTCGCGTTGCTACGCCTTTTTTCGCGTAATTACGCCTTTTGATTCGCGTAATTACGCCTTTTGATTCGCGTTACTACGCCTTTATTCGCGTTGTAACGCCTTTGCATTTTTATTTTTTATTTCATTTGACACTATTAGGCTTTCGTAAGTAGCAGAATGTAAACAAATAATTATTTTGACTTCTATACAAAATACTAGATCGTTATAAATGTAAATGTTATAAATGAGAAACTTTTTGTAAACAAAAAGCATTTGAGAAATAAAAGTAATGGCATTTCTTTGAATTTAATTAACCTTTAACTTCATTTCTGTTTAACTTATATGTTTATTGTCCATTTCAAATACTGATGAATATTGAATAAAATGAAAAGCTTAAAGTGACATTATGCCCATCCAAGGGTATATAATGAGTGAACATGTGAATAAATAAATAAGTTTTCATTTTGCAATAATTCCTTTTGATTTAATAATTGACTTCGTAAAAAACAATAAATAATATACACACGGATCCTAAGGAATTTTCTGTAAATATCCAACAGAAATTACGTGTACCGTTCAGTTTATAAAAAGAGTGGGGTAGTCTTTTTATATTTAAGGCAGATTTATAATTTCACCCTAAACATATTCAAATATCACCTGTTGGTCAAACACCATTTTAACAGTCAATCTTTTGAAATATAAAGTCAATTCAGCTGAACTTGATAATGAAAATATGAGCATAATGTCATAAATCAAATATGTAAAAGGAGAAGTATTACATGAAAAGCACGTGAAAAATATTAACGTAAATGGTACGTCCAAGACTTCAAAAGTATCTCCCTTTCTCTCGGATGTAATCTTCAAGACGCGGTATCCACCCGGAAAAATGCAATGCGGAAGGCTTCATTTGGTAAAGTGTTATTTAGTTGGTAAATGGCACTTGGTCAACATTCAAAGCGGCGATCTCTTATTATGATTTTAATATATGCGTTCAGCCTAAAAATGACAAAGAACAAGATGATAGCTGTATCGAATGTGGTAAAGTTTCAATTCTATTGTCGCTGAAGTAAGAACGAACCATGGCTGATTCATGGACAGGCGAGTTGTCATGGAGGAGCTTCATTCCGCGGACGTCGGCATATGGACGGGTATTGGAATAGTGCTCAACAACTTTTAAAAGAATGAAATGTCGATAAAGGAAGACAGTGACATCCTAATTTCTATATCCCCGGCAATCAAGAAATAGCTCATACAAGATGCGTTTTATGGTACGGGGTCTACAAGTATTTTTGACCTTCCATCAATTTCGACAATATACAGCGCTTGTTTTACCCTCTGACTCAAATCAAGGTTTCATTGCCAGTCACGATTTCTTTCATGTGTTTTCGATGAGCATGATTGTACATATTGAGCGGCTTTGGCGCTTTTTGACCTGCTCCCTCTTTTGGTCCCCATTGAGGAATACATTCAAACCTATACGTAGAATTTAAAGGTTTGTATATTTATCAAAAACTGATGACGGATCAATCTTCATAAATGACTTCTTGAGTTTATAGCGGGCATTTCTTGACAGTTATTTTAACTACCATTTGCATCAATTTTGGATTTGGCTGTTGCAGGACTCCCAGGTCAAGGCTAACATTTGATGTCCGTTGTGTCGTATATAAAATAACCGGATACAACTCTTAATTGTAGCTTATGGTAGGGTTTTATCCCAATTAACTTTTTAAAATCTGATTTGATGTCAGGCGCGGCAAAGCTAAGCAATGCGCGAACTATACATTACGCTCTTTGCTCTTCTTGGCGTTTCTGATTTTGAAACACATGCAGTGTTCATAACAATAATAATCTGATATGAAAATGAGAAACACATGCAGTGTTCATAACAATAAAAATCTGATATGAAAATGATATCTATCAAGCAGGTTTATCCAAAGCCTTTCATGTAGCGGAGAACCAACATTTCTAAGCATGTTTAACACCTGCCCGATATGCTCTGAATACAGTTAAAAAATAGACTTATTAATACTTGCCGATAACGGATTTAAGAACGTACGTCGTTCAACTCCAGCAACTTACTTTATATTTAAATGAATAATTTTGATGTTCTCAGTGTTTATCCACGTTACTTATATAATATTGAATTATATCTCCTTCTCACGTGAAGCAATGCAATAAGTCCAAGATTGCATCGAATACGCTTAATTCCCATGTATATTGGTATTGAAAAAAGAAAATGGTAAGAAATTTACTGTCATTATGGAGCGATATAAAGTTCTAAGAATTTTTATATCTATCAGAAATGTGCTGCATTATTATGAAATAAGTTTCGTCACTATTCCAACGCTCCAATCGAACACACCCAATCCATTTCTCTGGAATATACGCAAAATATTGATGTCAAATGTGTGCTCTATATTTCTGTTAAAAAGAAACGCGATCTAAACTAATGCAATTGCTAATCCGCAACGGAATTACATAATAGTGTTTTAAGAATTAGCCCCAAGTAATGGTGATTTTTTTTTCTTTTTACAAAAACTTACACGTATACATATGAATTATTTATGCAAATCGTCAATGCAAAAAGCGACTATATGTCGCCGTTATTTTCCCTCCGGTTAGATATTTGGATCTTATATTAAAGTAAAGAAAAACCCCGACAGAAATACAATTAACTGGATAACTTATTCATTTTATTTTTTAAGTACGTAGCTTTCATTTCGATATGACTCACTGTACATAGCGTAAATTCTTGTGAAAGAATGTCATACAACATACGCAACGGAATCATACAAAACGTGTGTTTGAACAATTTGCAGGAGAAAAGTATTTTATTTTTACGAAATTGTTTCCACTTTATATAAAGACCAAAAACAAAAGACCATGCTACGCGGAAATCTCGAGGCCATATTCCCTGGGCTAGAGCTTTGTGCAAGAAGGACATGCAAACTAAAGCAATTTCGAATCTGCAACGCGATCACATAAATGGTGTTTGAACGGTTGGCAACAGAAAATGGTGTTTTTTTTTCAAAACATTTTACACTTTATATAGACTAAGAACAAATCGCCGGTCCAAATCAACGCGAAAATTTGGAGACCATTTTCCTTGGGCTAGAGCTTTGTGCCTTATATTACTGTAAAGAATGACCTCCACACCACTAATGCAATTCTTTTCTGCAACGGAAGCACATAAATAGTGTTTAAACTGCTGGCAGCAGAAAAATGGTGTTTTTACGAAACTCTTTACTTTTTATATAGACAAAGAACAAATCGTCGGTTCAAATCAAGATCATGCCGCTCGGAAATATGGGGGCCATATTCCTTGTGTTAGAGCTTTATGCCTTATATTGCTGTAAAGAAGAACATCCAAACAAATGCTGTTACTTTTTTAAGTGTATTGAATAAAGATGTGTATATGAATGAATGAAATACAGATTGTACAAAAATATACGAAATGTTAATTGGTAGATCCTTTCTAGGTTGACGTCTGAACTGACCAATAAAAACCACTACTACCATCACCACCACCAATAATAATAATAATAATAATAATAATAATAGTTTAATTTGAAGAAAGTTACACATGTTGAGATATAATATTAAAAAACAATAACATATCTTAATTTTAACTGTGGCTTTCCAAACAATACATAAAAGCGTTCATTACCCTTTTTTAGTAACGTTTATCAAGACAAGAATTTAAAGTGAAAACAGCAAAAAGAAAAAAAATCTTTGTGTTGGGCAAATAGTTTTATATTAATTTTGTACAAGTTTAAGCCCACCTAATTTCAGCCTTCGACTGTAGCAAACGAAAAGTCATTATTTTTAGATTCACGATTCTTTCTAAATGAAGTGAAAGGGGATTCCGACGGCTGCTCCAGTCACTTCTTTAATGTGGTTTGTACCAGCAAACGCTCCACAACCGCCAAAATGCAGCTCAAAGAATGACATAAACTTGTCTGGTAAAATTTCGCCGCTAACTCTGGCAGACGATTCGATCCATTTCCTAGAAATAGCCGAGGATTCACCCTTTCCTACTGAAGAAGCTTTATTATGATTGAATAGGAAAGCGAAATATCCATTTGGATTGCCGTCACAATTGACAAAAGTAAATTCCTTTCCATTTGATTTGTATCCCTGTCTGTCCTTTAACTGACTCCGTCCATTTTCAAGCTTTAGGGGATTTAACCCAACATATATGTATGGACCCATCTTATCATTGACAACTCCAGTATATCCTACGTGGGAATTATATTGCACTGACAGTGGACGAGACATATACCTTGTTATTTGCTCGATACGCGATTCATACTGGAGCCCATTTGTTCGTCTATGACGAATAACAACATGGGTGTTGTCGTTAGACAATGTTTTGATGTCGACATTGTCATGTATGTATCCGGTGATATGAACGTATATCCACCGGCTTTACTTATAAGACAATACACTACAAATGGCTGCATCCTGTAGTGCAACGTGTAAACCCCACTCGATGTTACACCGGGCTTTTAACCATATCCATACATGATGCTGAAATATTTAAAAACATTTCAGTATATGTGTAAATAATTTTCATGGCGTTTCTTCTATTCTAAAAAACTCAAATACTGCAATACATCGTTTGTAAAGATAATTAATTACTTAATTAATATGTTAGCATAATTTATTTATTATTTATTTGTTTGTTCAATTTATTTATCAATGCTTTTGTTTTAGTTAAAACAATACTGTGAATGTCATATGGTGGTTTCTCCAATGGTTTGGGGTACTTGAAGAGCCCTCAATTAATTATTTTTTGGACACCAGTATTACAATAGTAGAAACCACTGGCCTATCGTATGTTAGCTGGATAGCTCCCTTAAATTAAGCTTCCAAAGTTCCTTACGTCTAGTAACGGGGTTCAAACTTAAGAGACAAGTACACTTGAACTTGATTGTATAACAGCATGCAATTTCAACATAAATCAATAATACATGCATTACGGTATGGAAATGTTTTCTTACTTGCTTTATTTAAACTGTTTTGCATCACCTCTTCCAAAGCTTGGTTAATCACAAGTCGTAGATCAGTAACTTCTGATTCCATTTTAGCCTTCATCCCTTCTACCGTCTGTAAGACGACACCGTGTTTTCTCTTCATCTCGTTTATTCAAATTCTAGGAAATACTCCGGGGTCAATTTGTCAAACA